AGTCAATAATATTTGAAACTGTCTGAAGTATGTTTGAACTGCACCAGCTGATTAGACCCACATGGTGAACATCTCTGACTTGAACATAATTGTCATGCTTCTCGATGCTTTATTCCACTTCCAGAATTTTCTCTACTATTTTTTATACTATTTTTTCTGATATTATATTAATTTAAAAAAAGCTTATAGATACTAAAAGGGTTTATGTCTTATTCACAACAATCATGTTGTTCAAGTACAAGCGCTGAGATGAGATAAGTTTCCTACACTCTTTCAGACATCACCAAATATGCTGAATTCTTAGAGGACACCTGCTAAAATCAGCCCCAGTGTTTAATCTCCCCAAATGTGCGTTCCCACCATGTAGAGCAAAGTACAGAAGTATCAACATGTGCAGCCAAGCAGCACTTATTCTTTAGTTAATTCATCTTGCAGAAATGAGGGAGATGTTCTTCATCTAAAGGAGACCTCTATATAGAGCAAAAGCTGCATAAGCATGACAGACATTATGGAGGTGTGCCACAGGGTCCTGTCAGAGGATGTTATTATTTTAGCATCCACGGTGAGTCACCTGTTTGGCTGAGGTTTGAAAGGCAATCGGTTTTACACAGCGTTTTCTGGAGCCTCACCAACGCCCACCTTCTCTTAACAATGTGATGATGATGGATGTGATGGTTTTAACTCCTCCAGCTTTAAATGTCCCTATTTATAGAACAAAAACAAAGTGAACATGACATAATGAAGTTTGACTCGAAAAAATAAACTAGAGCGAAACCCTAATTATATGAATTATGTTCGATGCACTGATAAGAATCACAGCTTGTCTTACACAGTGGTTGTGAAACTAGAAATAGTGTGAACAAGTTTTTAAAAGGAAGACCTCTGCATATGTATGTGCCTATGCTTAAAGTTATCATACATATTTTCACACAAACAAATCACATAATCCCCCGCAGTCCCACCGCCGCACAACCATCTGCTTTAGACTCGAAAAACACACGAGCAATACATGAGGGTCATCTGACTACATATGCATTAATACATATGGATTACATTCAAATCTGTTGCATTATAGAGCCAGAGAGGAGCAGTCTGTTATACAGTATCTGAGACCACTTGGAGACGTTGACACTGTGGGATGTGATGATGTCACATGAGGGGGTTGATCTTACGGAAAAAACTACGGAAGTGTCATGGGGAATGTGTCGATGTTGGAAAAACATTCATACTGTTAAGCCGTTTTCACATATGCACTCTGGATAATATCTAGATATTTACAGGAGGGCCGCTCCAGAGATTCTCCCGACCTAGCCGTTCACATATGCTCCTCACAGCGGGGGACTTTCCCTGTCTAAGAGGGGAGGGGGGGCGGGGGATTTCCAGAGGTAAGACGTAAAAAAAAAAACGCGGAAGAAGCGGCCGAAGCAACTAGTGATAGGAAGTTCAGCTCTTTTCACAGAGCCAGCTCTTTTGATTCCCAAACGGCTCTTAATTTAGGATCTTTTGTAGCCTCATATTTTAGCTTAACTTTGCAAAAATGAATGGTTTGTGTGTTGAAAACCCTTTTGTGTGCATTTATTCTGTTACAAAAGCATTCTTACTCTTGTTTAATATTTTAATCAAACTTTTTAATTGCACAAATACAAAACTGCAAATACAAAAAACTGCAAACAAATCCACAGAAGGATCACCTCCATTACAGCATCAGCTGTAGGATTTCTCCTAGCAGCATCTCCTGTAGCTCTTTCATCAAAGAGCCTCCAAACAGGTTTAGAGGTTTAGAAATTTTCGGTCCATGGCTGAACGAAGAGCTACAACCAATTCCTTTACTTTCTGCACGGTTACTGGCCATGCTGCCCAATCAAAACAAAGTTCTGCCATGAACAGAGCTGGGGCTAACCCACTGTGAGAGCTAAGCAGTGAAAGGAAAAAACTGGGAGCCGGCTCTCACTCGATGAGTTGGCTCTTCTGATTCACTACAAAGCATCGGCTCTCAGAGCCGCATCTTTTGAGCATGACACATCACTAGAAGCAACAGAGTCCGCTACACAACGTTATAATGAGAATATTTGTCTTTATATCAATGCTATGTGTAATCCAGTGGAATGACAACATCCACAAAAGAGAGGAGAACAACATACTGACCAACAGAAAACAGAATGTAGCTGTTTAATTAGAGCACGGAGATCGTAGCGGTCACGTGCAGACACTTTAGGCACTCACTGTATGTAAACGTCATTCTCTTTCTATTGGCTGAAATTGAAAATCTCCGGAGTATATTCGGCCGCGTTCAGACATCAAGCTCACTTGGATTTTCTGAGGATAAAATACTAGGGGTCTGGAGGAGAAACTCCGGGTAAAGTCTGTGCCGAAAATGCGGCTGTTTGCATTCACACATAGCCTAAAAACTTCCGGGTAGCCAAATCTCCGCAGTTTTTCAGGAGATTTCCGTATGTGTGAAAAGGGTTAATGACACGACAAATGCAGACGCATACACACACACGCACAGGTCTAGTGTAACATTCTGTTTCCACCACAAACTTGTGTCTCATCTGTAATAAGTCTGACCCGTGTTTCCCCCTGCCCTCTGCCAGACTACCATGCATGCCCTCTACAGTGTCTTCCTGCACGGCGTGTTTTCCTCCTGTTTGTGTGTCCGTTATTGAACTTTTTAATTATTTTGATTGTTTGTTGATCCAGGACAGTAGAGAGAGAGTGGGGAATGACATGCGGGGAAAAAGAGCCACATGTCTGAATCGGAACCCTGGCCGCGTGCTACGAGGACCACAGCCTGCGTACATAGGGGCCCGCAAGCCAACCACTAGACTACCAGCACCCTCTTACTGGACTTTTCTGCCCTCCACGGCTGCCTCACTGTAAATGACCTACTCTATCAAGGTAAATAGATTTTTTCTTACTTACTGGTTTTTGTGTCTCGAACTTTCCTCTGCGTAAGAGTACTATAGTTTGGTTACTAAGAAAATATTGTCTTACTCTTAGATGGGGACATAAAAACAGGGAGTATTTTTATTATCTGCCTCATTTAGTAACTTTTACAATAACTATTCAAGTACATAATTAAATGGTTAGTTGTAGTATTGACAGTACTTGAGAGGGTGGTTAAATCTACAACTACAACTTTCTGCTCTTCACGCTGCTGACCCACGACTGCGCTCCATCCTTCAGCAGCAACCACATTGTGAAGTTTGCGGACAACACAACAGTGGTTGATCTCATCTCCAACAACGATGAGACGCACTACAGGATAGAGGTCAGCCAACTGGCCACGTGGTGCAGAGACAACAACCTCTTCCTGAACGTCAACAAGACCAAGGAGGTTGTTGTCGACTTCCGGAGAGTCCCCACTCCTAAACCCCCACTGACCATCGACGGTGCTGCTGTGGAGAGAGTGAGCAGCACCAAGTTCCTGGGGGTTCACATCAGTGAGGATCTCTCCTGGACAACCAACACCACATCACTGGCCAAGAAGTCCCAGCAGCGCCTCTACTTCCTCCGCAAGCTGAAGAGAGCACGAGCCCCCCCATCCATCATGTGCTCAGAGTATCCTACCAGCTGCATCACTGTGTGGCTTAGGAGCTGCACTGCTGCCAACCGCAAGACCCTGCAGCGCACAGTGAAGGCTGCTGAACGGATTATCGGTGTCCCACTCTCTCTTCTGGACCTCTACACCGCCTCACCCGCAAAGCAACCAGCATTGTGCGTGACCCCACCCACCCCTCACACAGCCTCTTCAGCCTCCTGCCATCGGGGAGACGGTACCGCAGCCTGCCTCCACCAGACTGGGAAACAGCTTCTTCCACCAAGCTGTCAGGAAGCTTAACTCTCTCCCTCTCTTCCTTCCCTCCCCTCTGCCCCCACGAACACTGGACGTTGAACCCCCTCCCGTTTTCCACCAAGAACTCTGGACTAAAAACTCTGTACACTCAGTTTACTGCACATTGCACATACTGCACAAGTTCACTTTTTTTTTTGTTATTTTTTTTAAGTTATTGTATTTTATTTACTACCTTTTGCACAATTTAGAATTTATTACTGTAAATATTATTTATCTTATTTTTACCTCATTTTATTTATCTATTTTTACCTTATCTTATTTTACCTTATTTTGGTTGTATTGCAATAAAGTTGACTTTGACTTTGACTTGACTTTGAACTATAGGCTTTATTATAGAGGTCACTGTTACCTTAGTGTTCTTAAATTAATATTGTGTTGACTTAATCAAAAGCTATGTTTGAACGGTTATTGTGATTGAAAAGCAGGATGATTTGAATTAAAAAAAGGACAAACAGTTGAATGATAAGTAAAGAGAGTGGTTTGGATGTCTGCATTAACCAAAAGGACGCACAGTGGGAGCTGTCTCAAGGCCTCCCCCGATGTGCTGTGTAGGCACCATAGTGTCAACATATTGATCATTACATTGTTAGGGGGGTTTTCTTTGTTGGCTGAAGTGTCCAATTAGAGAATATTTCCATTGCATTTTTCAGACAACTGATGGCTGAACAGCTTTAATGAAGTGTTGAAGCCAACTGCTGCATGCCCACACAAAGGAAGAACGGAAATGTCTTCACTAAAGCCTCACACACCCCCACACACACGCACGCACACACACACACACACACACACACACACACACACACACACACACACACACACACCACACACACACACACACACACACACACACACACACACACACACACACACACACACACACACACACTCATCACAAGCACCTGGCAAGCCCCTGTAGGAACTTAATTGGACATACTCCCTTTCTCCTTACACACAACACACACACACACACACACACACACACACACACACACACACACACACACCACACACACACACACACACACACACACACTCATCACAAGCACCTGGCAAGCCCCTGTAGGAACTTAATTGGACATACTCCCTTTCTCCTTACTGGTATTAGTGTTAGTATTTGTGTGTGCATGTGTGTGTGTGTACTCACCTCCCGCCACTGTTTGGTTTCAACACCTTGCGTGTAGAGCACGCACACTGTGCAGAAGATAGCGACAGAAAGAGGTAGAATGTTTTGAAAGAGACAAAATGAGAGGCAAAACAGAGAGAGGCAGTCAGAGAAAGGCAGGCAGATTCCAAATGGGAAATCAATGTGGAGGGTTTTAGCTCCAGTACAGTGAACAAACAGCCCTGGCACTGTGAAAAAATCAAAGATTTCCCAATACCTAAGGCAACAAAACCACAATGACCACACTATAGATAAAGAGGACAAAAAGCTTGATTTGGTTCAGTTACTGTGTTTGCAGTTTAGAGGAAGCCAGTGTGAGGACAAACACTGAGTCTCTGCGACATACTCACATGGGTCTGATTTGGAGAATGTGTCTTTATCCAGCAGGTTTCTGGAAAAAGAAAAAAGGGAATGGTCACTAGTGTTAGTCAGTGTCAAGACACTCGTGTTCATGCTGAAATGTTTTTTCTCATCGAGGTCTGAAGCGATTCATGCAAAGCCATCGTTGGGGATTTTTTTTTTTTCTGTTCTGATTTTTGGATTTTGTGTGAAGACACTCCATAATTTAAGTGCTACACTAAAAACAGGCCAATGCTGACTAAATATTTTGCTAAGGATGTTGTTGTGGCATCATATTTCTTCTCTCACTCTCTCTCTCTCTCTCGCCATCATCACCATTTTCTCTCTGATCATAGAGTCAACTGAAACATACAACACTCTAAAATATCAATATTTTATTAAGCTCTGCACCCTCTCCTCAGCTGAGATTGTCACCCCCACACTTGGCATCAAATGTAACCCATAACAAATGGAAATTGCTCAGAGATGTAGAAAGAAAACCAAGCGGTGGGTGGCAATGTAACTTAACATTACACTTTCTTCAAAACAGGAAGAAGAAAAAAAAGGCCTTCCACAGCCTGAACTGTCAATCTTCAATAGTGACTGCTGATCATTTGTTAAGTTACGAGACGTTTTTGTGGTGCTTCTCATTCAATGCATGACTCAGGTTCTTTCAGGATAACTTCACACTCGAAGATTAACAGCTATTTTAAAGGAACTTCCATGCCAGGTGTTTTCAGTCAATTTGATGAGCATCTAATGAGAATGAAAAATGGGCGGAGCTGCGCTTGTATGTCTCACAGTGACAACACAGCCAGCCTGTCACTCTCAATTTGCAAAAACAAAAACTTGAAATTACTGATAAGTTACCATGACAACACAGGAAGTAAATAAGCCTGACTTTACCATATGATGGATGCTAATTATTATTATTTTTTACATGCAGTCAAAAAAAAAATCTGGTCTACTGTTATTTTGTTGTTGTTCTTGTGTTTGTTTTTTCATTGTCAAGTCAACATTATCATCATTTTGCCTTTTGTCCTGGTCGATAAAGTTTTTATTGTCAGTCTTGTGGTCATGCAGCATGGAAACACAAAGGCTGTGTCTGAAATCACACACTACTCACACACTATTGTGAAACCAGTATTACAGCTGATGGTCACTACATCTTGCATTGTGCAGTGGCTTTGATGAAGGCAAAGTGATGTTTAACTGATCTTATAATGTACCGACAGACAGACAAGAGAAGCAAGCAGAGTACACAACATAGAAAACATAAAACAGTTCAGGTGGCGGCCTTTTCAAGAAATCGAGCAGCTAGAAGCGTACAGCTGCAGGTGTAACACGGCTGTAAAAGAGCATAATTTGTCATTGTCCAGTAAGGGACGCAGGCCAGCTTTAATAGAGTAATATGTTAACTACACTGTGTAACTGCACTTTCACAGGGTAAATAAGGGTAAATAGATAGTTAATTAACCATTAGTTAATAGTTATTTACTGTTAACAAACAATGAAATGATAGTTAATAATGTTTGCCAATGATTTGTAATGCTATAATTTATGTTATGTTAACAGTTTACTGATGCACACATTATAACATTTCATACACTTTATGAAGTGTTTGTTAATGATGACCAAATGATTTATAAACCTTGGTGACGGGTTGGAAATCATCGGACAGCCCAGTCCATTCCAAAGAGGAATACGGATTCAGATTGTCCTCAGATCCAGATATTCACAGGTTCCAGTGTTTCCAGATTGCACAGATTCCCAGTCCTGTTGGTTGGGTGGTGAGCTGGATCGTGACTGGGATTTTGACTTTAGAAGGATTTTCCCTTCCTTGCTCATCATGTGGTATGACAAACACTGACACACGTAAGGGCCCCAACGGTTGAAAACTAAACTCAAGGGACAAAAAGGGTTTTCCTTTCGTTCGCACTTGATTATTTTAGTTTGTTATTTTTCACATCTGTCATACCTGTTTATCTATGTATGTATGAACCATATTTTGTGTATTTAATATACAGGTTCAAACTTTCATCTGGTGTGGAAATGCTCTTTATTGATATTCAAATTCTCTGGCTCTTAATAATCTAGTTTCTTTTGATATTGGTCCACCTTCACATTGATGACAACATATAAGATCAAATTCTAATACTTTAGACCATTACTAAACTTTAAGAAGGGCTACAGAAGCAAATAGATACAAATCAAATATAGCTGCAAGCGACAATTGTAGGGGTTGAATCATTGAAACATTGAAGTAGCAGCAGCAACCATGTATCTGACTTTACCAACTTATTGATTGTTTGTGTCTCTCTGGCCCCATATGGTTGCATTAAAATAAAGTCGTCATTTCTCAGTTGTTGTGTTATCTTTTTTTGAAGTCCCATGACTTTCTGTTTATAAATGTGTGTTACTCGATGTTTTATAAACCACTTAATATTTCATTAATTATAAATATTACCAGCATTAGTTGCAACGTTATAATAGTCATTCACATATTGTTTATAAATGGTTTATAAACCATGTATAAAGCAATTGTTAAAGTTTTATAAACATCAATTCCAACTTTATAATAACCATCCAAATAATGTTAATAGATGCTCTACACAATATTTATGAACCATTTACAAAGTATTATAAACATCAGTTCCAACTTGTGTCTCTTTAATGTTTAGAGATGTTTTATAAACCATCTCTTAAAGCTTTATAAATCATTTAGTCATCATTAACAAACACTATAAAGTGTATGAAATGTTATAATGTGAACATCAATAAACTGTTAACATAACATAAATTATAGCATTACAAATCATTAGCAAACATTATTAACTATCATTTCATTGTTTTTAACAGATGATGGTTATTATAAAGTGTTACCTCTTATTAAATTCAATACACACATTTTGCTCCTGTTTTAATCAGAGTGTATTTGTTTCGTTCAGGTAGTTCTACTTTCTACTCATAAAGGTATACACCAGTGTGGCAGGAGATAGTAGCATAGCCCGGTGTTCTGTTTGTCTAAATGATAAGAGAGCCTCTTAAACATGAAACCACAACCATAAAGTGTGGGGGGTGCATTTACAATCTTGCATGTACAAATTTGATCCACTTAATGTGCACAAGCCCGTGCTCATTAACACATTCTCTTACTGCCAACTTTGCAGAGCAGCAGGTTAATCAGCACAGAAAATTATGGTGTTTTGTAGCATCTTGAACAATAGCTGATTAGCAGCATGTTTTGCATTTCCTGGCAGCTCAGATATCTCTCAAACCTCCACTCACTCACTCACTCACTCACTCACTCACTCATCGCCTTTTCTGCTGTAGTGTTCAATAAGTTCAGTTACACTTTTTTGTATTACCGTGAAAAAAGAGTTATGCTATAGAAAACTATTTTGTGAGATTTTCCTTTTAGAAGACATTTTATTTTTCTCTTCTTAAAACTTTACTGGTCAGGAATTCATGCGTTGTTTGAAAACTTTCCATTTGAGAGTTTTTCATTTTTGGTTTCCATCTTTTTTTGATCTTTGATTTAGAGCCCTTTTAAAAAATAGAACACTTCTCACATTATATTGAGCTTGTTATATGTGCCTCTCAGGCCCATAGACACACATTAGAAGTTCTCCCAATGACTCTGCAGATCAGAAAAAGACAACTGGTAATCTGGATTTGGTAGTCTTTAGAAGTCTGTACCTGAAAAAAGGTTGATCCTCTCCAGCTTGTCTTGGCGAAACAAAGTGATCCTGAAGAGCAAATCTCCAAATCAGGATCTTTCTTATCCAGATTAAACCTTTTGAACAATTGGACCCTAGACCCAAATAATGAAACTAAAAGAAATGTAATGTAATTACATATATCAATTTAGCAATCAAAAGGATGAACCAAAAGTATATTGGAACTGTTTACAATATTTCAAAACAGCTCTGAATTCATTTATTGTAAACTTCAAACCACCAAAGGGTTATCAATCTTTTTTTTTTCTCATGCACACTCTCTGTCTACCTTGTTTTCTTTTTCTGTCTCTGAGTGTTTCTGAGCCATAATCCCATGCATTTACTATAAATCTAGCCTCATCTCTCCACCTCAAGTGTCCATGTAGTCGCTCCATCATGCTTGCTTGACCTTCTCATAATGTCTGCCAGAGGCTACTGTGTACCATACACTATTACCCTTCATGTTTTCTTTTGCTCGCTCACTCTCTGCAGTGACATGAGAGCTCTCACTCGAGGTGCCGGAGCCCGCTGGTTTCTCTTGATGCTTTATTCTTTTATTTTTTTGTGTGTTTCATTTCCTGTCAGGTTTCTGTTGTCATTAATCTTCAGCTGTGTTCTTTCATCAGCCTCGGTCTCTTTTGATCTTTTCGCCGCTCCTCTATTTCTTCAACCCTCCCTTTATACCTTTTGAGAGCCATTGGAGAAGACAATTACTGATTAAAGGAGAAACAAGAAATCCTGAAATCTGGTTCAACATTGCAAAGGCGGTAATTTTTTTTTGATGTTGTGTGATTGTCAAAGTGCTTATCTGTCAAAATGTAAGCTGGTGAGTTCAAGGTTCCAGGCAGGAGTGTTTTACACAAAAAATGTGATCTTAACTGAAAAAATAATTAGATTTGGAATGACTAAAGCGAGAAAATTCACTAAGTGAATGAAAGCACTGACCTCAAAAGTTATTTCTTCCTTGTCAGACTTAATCAAGTGCTAAAATTAAGTTGAAGAAAAAATGGCTGTTTTGTGTTAATAGTTAATCACAGCTGTATGCTTACTGCTAGCACTGTTTACAAAGAAGTGGGTGACTTTGTAAGAATTTAATCAAATTATGACCTCTGAATATATGTGCTGATCAAAAAGGGAATAAAGATTGTTCCATTTTCTAGTAAAAAAAAAAAGTGCTAGAGCTAGCTTTAGCTAAAATAACAAAAATCTAGTGCCCTGCATTACACAGCAGACAGTTATCAAGCAAAATAGACCCAGCTGGTTCTCTGACTGTATAAACTTAAATCATTATAAGGCCATATACTGTGGTGAACCAATCCCTCCCAAAGAAGCT